AGTGCAAATCAACTTGGTGAACTGAAGTATGACGTTTGTTGACTCCTTATACAGTTGTTGATTTACAATTTGGTCTGGCTTGGTTGGTGAGCAGATGGGTCCCCTAACGACATTATTTCCCATTATATGCCACCAAACTAGGTACTTTGACGGCTGAGTCATAAAAAACGATCTTGGATGTGAATGAGTTAGGTATTAAATGGACAAACCCCATAATAGAAAGATGGGCACAATTACGCAGATTGGGTAATCACTACTATGCAGTGGATGATCGGTATGGTTGACTAGACCTTAAAGGCAAACACCATTGAAGGCTTTAGGAAAAGTTATGCCCTATAGATTTTTGGGAATGGTGTTGACACCTAAGTTTGTAACTTTTTTTATTTTTCCTAATAGTGTTGACACTTAAGTTTGTAACCATGTTTATTTTTTCTAATCGATAATGTACATTCTTTATCATGAAAAAATCAGTCTTTGTTCTATTGCTTCTATAAATTATAATGACCAAAACATGGGATTAAAAAGCTACTAACTTGGGATGCTTTTAATGACTAGAACATGGGATTAAAGTGTCACTGACTAGGGATGCTTCTAATAGAGTAAATCTAGGTTAAGGGTTTGGGTGGGTTTAGTTTTCCTGTCCCTTCCACTCTTAATTTTTTTTTCAAAAATTCCCAGATTTCAATTTTCTTATCAAATAATGATCATAACTTGAAATAGTGCATTGTGTAACTAGATTTGAAAGGATTTTTGTGACTAGTTTTAAAGGCATTGCATGAAGTAGGCATTGCGTGACTGAGTTTTAGTCATTGAGTAACTAGTTGATAAGGCATCGTGTTACTAGATGGTAGGCATTATGTGACTCAGGTGTTACGTGACTAGTTTTCTTTCATTGCATGACTCGTTGAGAGGCCATTGCATGACTAGTTGGTTAGCATTACTTGACTATTTTGTAAGAAGTATGGCAAGCAATTTGGATGAAAATTTATCAATATATTCAACTAATTATTGATAAATGATCGCCTGATAAATTTTGCAAATCAAAGAGTCTAGGAACCTATCAATAGATATCGTGCCAATTGCAATTTCCCTTTCCCTAATCTAGAGGGCATATCCTCTATCGATATATTCCGCATTTATTGATAAATGGGCCACATGGATAAAAAGGCAAAGGCACAATCTATCGATATATAGTTCTATTTATTGATAGAGTTGAACCTGAGACTAAAATGACTGTTCAATGGTTAAAAAATCTATCGACAGATGGCGAGATCTGTTGATAGGGCATTACGTTTCTGGCTGGTATGCATTGTGTGATGCAAAATATGCATTGTATGAATGGATTTTAGTCATTGTGTGATTAGTTGATAGGGCTTTAAGAGGTTATGTGTTTAGTTTGTATAAAGCATGGGATTTTTCATTTTTCATTATTTTTTTTTTGGATCTCCTAAACCCACGACTATTTCTCTTTCAAATACTCTCAACTTAACCTTATCTTTCATGATTTTTCATTTGATTAAAGTGATTTTCCCCTTTTTTTCAGCCTTTTAACTCTAACATTTCATTAAACCATTTACCCAAAATGCATACATATTTATCGTTTGCAGTTTTGAAACTCTCAGTTTTTTCTTCCCATAATCTTAACCTTTATCGTTTGTAGTTTCGAAACTCTCAGTTTTTTCTTCCCATAATCTTAACCTTTCCACCGAAGCTTTCGTCCAAAGTCCCTCACATTTCCTAAAACCCTACCATGAGTCAAAGGGCCAAATGAACCAAGGCAATCATTAATTGGGCACCTAGTGGCTCTACTGGAGCTGGGTCTTTCTCTTCTTGGATGGGAGTTCTTTCCTTCACAACTTCACTCATCCATCACATGCCTAGAAATTTAGCGACAACTTCACCAAACGAAGGGTAATGCCCGAGCGCATTATTGACTTCGATTGTTTGGAATCTATTAATTTTTTGTATCTTGCTAATTTAGAGAATTTAAACTGGACGCGTTACTTGAAATTGAATCAGAAGTATTATAAAGTTGACGCTATATCTTTGTAGATATAGTTACTACTATTTTTCTATATCACAAAATTTTATCAGATAGATCGGTACTTGGAGTAGTCTGAAGACCAATTTGTTATTTTTTAATTGGACCTATAAAGTTTTTGGTTGTCTTAGCCTATAAGTCGATTTCAATAAATTTTTTTTAAAATTTAAATTTAAATAATGTAGTCATAGTGGGAGATTGTTAGATTTTTCAGTAAAATTCTTTTGTGGACTTATATTATTTATTTTTGTATTTTAACAAAATAAGGTTAAGATAGTTTGGCCTTGATAAAGGGACAATATTATGGTCCACACTTTGATCTAATAAAGTAAGCTAGACACCAATGTTATATGTGGGCTTAAAAGTGTAAGCTTGTGTAAGAAACCCTAAATCCTATGATGGGTGGAATTAGGGATCCATTAAATAAAGGTCCTCTCACTTGTTTACAATGACATAAAAATCTCAACCATTAGAGAATCATAAAGAAAAAGAAAGGAAAATCCTAGTGCACTTACCAATAATTAATATGGTCAGTATTATTTCTGCTGTATTATTTCCACTATTAAACTATGAATCAAAAATTAGGTACGTTTTATGTTCTAAATTCCTACTATGTTAGATCTTGGTTTAGTATAAATTTATTTATGCATAAAATTTTTGCATTTTTGTCTAGGTGTGGGAATATAAAGTATATAGGTTCGGACACGTAATTATGGTCTGCACGAGCAGCTAAACACTTCGAACATATTGATGAATCCATTAATATCGACATGTTAAATTAGGTCAAAAATAACTAAGAGGTCCCTATACTTATGTATTTTATTCAATTTAGTCTTTGTTCTCCAATTTGAAGTAAGTTAGTCTCTCGATTTTAGAATTACTCCAATTTAGTCTCTTTCCCTAACGACATCTAATTTAGCCATTAAATAAGATGACATCAGCATTGCCATCATTCGTTTTCGCTAATGTTGTAGCATTGGTAGATGGCATGCTAATGTGACACTGCCATGTCACTTGACATGCTGAAGTGGTAGTGCCATGTCAAAGTGGTGTGGCATGTTAAGAGGTTGCCATGTGGCATGCTTTAGGATATTGCCACGTCACTCTCTTATTTTCCAAAATATGATGTGCTTAGGACCTCTAACAAATGCACCAAGGTGCTTACCATCATGTCTAAGCCCTTGTTTTTAATAATTTATTATTTGGTTTATCTTTCTGAATGTGTCAAAATACTCTAAAATGATGCAGTTTTAGCAAAAAAAAAAAGGAAAAACAAATAATTTCTAACAAATGGTATAGCATTTTTTCTCAAAAACCCTAAACCTTAGCTATAAAAGAATCTCTTTCTTATTTTTTCCTTCCTTTCTCTCTCTTTCCTATAGCTCGGGTTTTTCAAGGTCTAAGAATGCTCCAAAATGGTGTAGTTTTAGAAAAAAAAAGAAAGAAAAACAAATAAAAGTAAGAAACTATTTAAAGCAAGGGCTTAGGCATGATTGTAAGTACCTTGGTGTACTTGTTAGAGATCTTCAGTTTGAATCCCAGCAAGAGCACATCATATTTTGGAGAAAAAGAAAGTAACGTGGTAGCATCCTAACGTGCCACATGGTAGTCTCTTGGCCTGCCACATATATGTCAGCCTCTTAACAGGTTACGCCACTTTAACATGCTAACGTGGTAGTACAGCGTCAACAACTTAAGCCTTAATGGTGACGTGATAGTACCACGTCAGCAACCCGAACTCAATAGGTGACGTGGTACTACCTGTTAGCATGTCATCTACCCACACTGCACATTAGCAAAAATGTGTCGTGTCAGTGTTGATGTCATCTTATTTAACCATTAAATTGGATACTGCTAGAGAGAAGAATTCAATTAGAGCAATTTTCAAAATCGAGTGATTAAATTGTTTCAAAGCGAAGTACAGTTACCAAATTGAATAAAATACATGAGCACAGAGACCTCTCGAATTGAGGACTTGTTTATTCCAGACAGAATTTACGTGAAAATAGGGTAAAATGTAGACAGCTGCCATTGTTGGATAACTTTATATGAGCTAAGAGGTGGGCTAAGTTTGTCCAAATGTCTACGAACTAATTTTAGTATGTGGGAGGGTTGATGTATGCAATTTCCCCAACTTGGATACCTAGTGTTTTGGGTTATTTTATTCCTTTACTTATTTTTGTAATCTTAAAATTCAAAGTCAAATTTGACTTTGGCAATTAACATTAAAATTACATACTTTGGAAAAAACAATTGAATAAAAATGATTTCTTTGTTATTAAATAACAATAAATAAAGCGATAACAAATAATGATATTTGGTTATTTTTTGATTCATGGGATCAATCTCAGAGTGGGGAAAAAGCAAATCGAAAATATCTTATATTCGAGAAGGGCATTAAACATTTTACGCTGGTCAATATAATTTTTTTATTGACTCGTAAAACATTTTACGTTTATAAAAGTTTTCTTTTTTTCTAAAGGGGGAAAACATTGAATTTTTTTTTAAAAAAAAAAACTTTTCAACCTTACTAGACAGAGCCTTAGTAAGTAACCAAATGCTCCAACCAAACCATGCATGTTTGTTTTTTTCTTTAATTGGGGTATAGAAGATTCAAATCACCAAATCTTTAAGGTGAATATATCTATCTATTTAAGTCGAATACTCGAATGCCAAAATTGTATTTTAAGAAGAAAGAAAATATATAGTTTTAGAATATATTAAAGTGTTGATTGTGATTTACCTATCAAAATGTAAGCTTACAGAATTGAGATTGATTAATAAACTTTTAGTTATTATTTCTATGGGTTACGAGATATATGGGCATAGATGTTAAGAAAAAATTATAATAAAAAAGTTAGATGGCACCCATTCAAGCATTTGAATCATAAGCTGATGCATGAACAAAATTCGAATCCCTTTTCCACCAATTTCAAAAAAGAAAAGTTGGCACATGCCCTTATCAAGAAAATTGGTATTTAATACACTTCTTTAAGTGATTTAAAACATTACATCTGACAAGGAGAGAAGGAAAAAAAACATAGGAAAAGAAAAGAGAAAATTCCTTATTCCACTCCAACCATGAATTTTTGTCATTCTTTTTACGAGCTTAATGAGTTTGGAAACGAACTACAAACTACACTTAATCGAAATTAAGCTTAAGATACAGCATGAACCCCAGCAACAATGTATTTTCTCTGCAAATTAGAACAAGAATAAAGCATATATATAGATATAGATGTGTTGATGTTAGTTATAGTGAAGGGGAATGAACATTGTCAAAGATATCAGCAGGAGGAATGAAAGAGTCGATGGAGAGGCCCGGGACATTAAAAACAACATCATCAATTCTCCAAACTTCTTCCATCCGAGTCCTACTGTGCTGCATGGACAGCTCCCCAAATCGGAAAACTGTGGCGATAGATCTTCCTTGATGCGCAATCAACACTCCGTCCACATCCCTGTAGTCTCCAATGCTACTCCCTATGGTAGTTTCCCAGTACACAGATTCATTCTCTTGTGTATGAACCCTGGTCAGGTGGGAGTCCTCCAAGTATATCAACAGACCACTCTTTTGGCAGAAGTAGCCGTATAACACATGCCTTATCACCTCCGCTGGCCCTTCGTTCCGTTCCATCACGGCTGCACGGTCCGCGCATACTTTGAGCACGAAGCATTCATCCTCCCCTATTCGTTTCTCGCCCAGGCATTGCGCTTTAGCAAATAAGCTGGCTGTTGTCTTTGGATCTAGTCCCTGGATTTATTACACATACCATAATTTTGAGCATTTCATACGAATTAATTAACTAATGATTTCTTCTGTCATACCAAGAGATTCAAAAGGTAAGAAAGTCCTCTTAAGAGGGCATAATGGTAAAAGTCTTGATTCTTTCTTCTCTCTTGGATAGCAATTAGTGTCATACTTTCGATATGACCCACTCATGCAGCTTCGAGACCATAAACCTTGTGAGTATGAACTAGGAGTTATCTCATATATAAAAAGGCCAAATATCGTATCCGCCGAGATTTGGTAGCATTCCCAAAAATTGGACAATAAAAAGAGAAAAAGAATCTAAAAAAGAAAAGGGCGTGATTGGGGAATAAGCAGAAAATATATAAAGAAGGGGAGGGAAAGCCCAGAAAAGCAAAGGAGCTATAATAATGCAACACATCCAGCACTATTCACTAAAGAGCAAAAAGATAAAGTTAAAGCAAAAGTATGAGTGGCAATCCCAAGAAGGTGATGGTATTATTGGATGTACGTGATCATAGATGATGTCAACAGAGACAATCACGTGCCTTTCCCTAACTCAGATAGTGTACAAAAGAAAAGAAAATGTCTCTGCTAAAAGCATGAGACAGTTTCTCCATCATTGTCAGTTCTATTCCATTTCCTTGGGATTGTGATCTTGTTCTTCCATCACTGTCTTTGTTTGGTAAAGAAGGAAATTTTTGAATTTAATGCTACCTAGGCTTTGCTTCCTTGATATTCTTTTTATTTTTGTCCTTTTGAAACTAAAGTTTATCATATATACTAAATGGAAAGCAAATTAATTAGTAAACTTTCATGGTTCTATTTTTGTGGTGGACTTGGAACTCAGTTAGCGATACATTGCATTGCATGATTAATTGGTTATCTAATAATCTCATCCTCAAGATGACAATGGTCGTTTTTGCTTTAGTAGACATGGATCTTTCAATAGAAACTATATGATTAATTAATGAATCTTTAATCATCAATGATTAGAGTACCTGGATTGTGCGACGCAAGGGTCGTTGGGGTCCCTTGGCTGCATGCGTGCCAAGCCAAGATGTGTGTCGCCAGACAGTTTTCCCATCGCTGCCGGCAATCACCTTGTTGCCTCCAACGACCAGCTCAAGGGACCACATCCCTGGTAACATTTGCCAAAGAACGAAGCATCCACTTTCTCCACTTCTTGTTCCCAAACTTTTCACATTCTTGCCTGAGGAAATCTCCGTTTCACAACAAATCATCTTCACGCTTCCTGTTGCATACATGCTTTTCGCACATTTCTGCTGTTTCAAGCATCCCGTAGCGGCCAAATATTGCTGTATAATGTAATGCGCCGTCGAAGTTTCCTATGTGTTCATCAAACACATATTTTCTTAAGTTTCTTCTTTAGAAAGAAAATGGAAACGGAAAACGACGGTGTCCTTGAAGTAAGATAGAACATGAAATTAAAGAACACGATGAATGCATTCAAAAACTTACAATAGGAATGTCTTTGACCCGAATGTGATGAATTGGGTGATTAACTAGAGGAATAGGGGCGAGGGGGCAACCCAAGACACCAAGCAAAAGCCTTAAATCTTGACTCTTGGCAGGAATACTATTGTTTCCATATAAAGACATTGGAAAATTACTTGCCGACAACCCCTTTTGTGTTCGAAACCATTCTCGGATCACTTCCCAAGAGCTCTCCTTCTTGTTTCCTTCTTCTTGCATTTCAGGGTCTGGCCCTTCCATTAAAGGCGTTAGTGTTTGTGTGCACCATCTCTGCTTCCTTCTTGCCCTCGACCCCATAATCTCTAAATATTTGTGATGAAGGAAGGTAGAGAGTGGGAGATATAAATTCAGAAGGAGAGAGTAGTAGCAGATTGGAATATTTTGTGAGGAGAAACCGAGAGAGACAAAAGGGACAGCTTATCCGCTCAACGACAGAGGGATCGTTTAATAATAAATACAGATTACAGACTCGCATGTTGGGCTGTCTTTTGCTTTATTACTCGTCCTTTTTGCTTTTAGACTTAGACTTAATAATATAATACACTATACACATTTCTCTTATTCTTGTCGTTTTATTTTTATAACTATTCTCTCGAGCTACTCCAAGTGAGAGGAGCCACAAGGATTGGCCTATCTCTTTCTGCAACCAGCCGGGAGTCCTTTCTAGGCTCAAGCTACACTGCCATCCATTTGCCACCCAATTAAATTACACAGACCTCCCAAGCACAAATGTTAACCATCTTCCTTGGAAAATGATACCGCACCTTACCTGAGTAATATATATAAAAGATTATTATTTTATATATCAGTGATTCAGTTTCTAAAAGTTTACAAATGAATAATTTTCTTATATATTGATTTCTTTATGTAGAATAAAAAATTTTTCAGCCAATTAAAACGTATGACATGCTTTTAAAATGTTTTCTTTAAATTTTATTCAGTGACTAGTTAAAATTTTTAATTGTTGCTAAATATTTTAATTGAAAATTTTTCAAGCCATTTGACGAAGCAAAATAAAGACACATAACTCCGGCCAATCAAAGTGTTGGTGTATTTTCAAAATAAAATAAATATATCTCTTCATATGAAAAGTTGTAAATGAAAAGTTATGGTTTTTCATATAAAATGTTAAAACTATTCAAAAGTCATATCAATGGAAATGTTATGTCACATAGTATGACATATATAGTATGAATATTAGATTGTAAGTGGCTTTTCATTTGAATAGTTATATCTCTTAATAAAGTGACATATTAGAAAAATACTTTTAAATCCAAAAGTTATGAGTCAATTGAAAAACATCATAGCTCAAAAGTTAGGATATTAAAAGTTATCTTTTTATATTGTAACTCAAAGGTTATATTTAGTGAAATAAATGGTTGTCTTTTCATAAAGCAATTATTGAAACAAGACCTTTATCCAAGGATTATGTCTTGCAACATGTAAAGGTGTCTTTGAGACATAGAGGTACCCTGATGAAATAGTTGTGTCCTTTAAAAAGATACACTTACAAGTCTATAAAAGGCTTGTTGCCAACCACTTTGACATACCAAAACAAATAAGATAAGAGTAGAACAAGATAGAATAAGAGAAGTGTGATATTCTGAAAATAAATATAAACACTTCAATTCCCATCATGTACCAAAAAAGTCCAAATTCCTTATAATCAACTTATTGCAGAAAGTAGACTTAAGTAGGCTCTAAGGCAAACAACTTTGCAAACCCTTAAGTGTATTTAGCGACCTATTCTTGTAAAGTGCAAGACAAAGTTAAACGTTGCCTTTTTTTATCGCTAAGGCTATTCGTACAATTCTTTTTTGCATTTCAAGTGGTGGGGAGAAATAAGTCCTAAAGGTAGCATCTATTAAAAAGTGCGCCTTGAACTCAATTTTTCTAGTTCCTTTGGATTCCAACTAAACCCCATTTGCATAAATACAAAGCTCATGGAGTATCCAATCAAATTTCACTTATTTGTTATCATATATTTATTTTTAACCAAATTAAAATAATTTAGAAATAAAATAAAAAAGATTAATTAAGTTCTTCTAGAACTCTCATGTCACAGGGTTTTGTCCTAACACACCATGTGACAGTTAAACATGCTTTCATGGGGCAACTTTGGTGGCTAAGTCAACCTCGACCCTACCTGATTATTTGATTCTAGTTAAATTGTGACTTTTGCTTTCAGTTTTAGTTTTGATTTTAGTTTATTTGATTTTCTAGTAGTTTAAATTTGATTATTTGGATAAGATTAAGGTGTTTTAATTTTAATACTTAGCAAAGACGTTTAATTCAATTCTTTATGGGATTGACACTCTATTTTTAACTATATTATTCGTTTACAATAAGTGCACTTGTGTGGTAAAATCGACGATACTACCAATTGCTAAGAATGGGTCGCACACATGCACTTATGGGTTTTTGCCCGACTCACAACCACAAAGAAAGTATTGCAAGAAGAGAGATTGTGAACTCAAAACAATAAGAGAGCTTTCATTAAAAAAAAATCATGTATAAGCATCATTAGGTGCAAAATGGAGTCCCCAAAAGGGTTTTTATAGGAAAAAGATGCGTTTAGTCATTACAAGGGGTTTCCCAACAATTAGGGGCTGTTAGGGCTCGTTTCTAGCAATTTGACACACTTTTGGGCCAATGCCCAACTATCAAGCAATGACTAGCCACCTGTCTAGCTAGCCTATGCATCTCATGCAGTTAGCCTGCGTGCTGTGCACCATAGCCTATATCTGAGTTGGAAATCTAGGTTTTCCTTGAGCCAAAACACCCATCATCAAGCTAGGATGACCAAAGAGACAAAATAGGTGTGACACTCTCCCCCAACTATCTTGACAATTCCCTTGTTGCTTATTGTTCATGGAAATGGTCCACTGACTCCTTGAACTACCATAGCAACTGGGCTAGTTTCTAACTCACCTGACTTTCAAGCTCTCGCTTCCATCAAATTAGGTACTAATGTTGCAAATGGTAGGCTTTCCTCTGTAACACACACTTAGCGAGGACCTCCTTAATCTCCCTATCATTTGATACAAGGTTTTCTATTGAAAGCCTCTGACTCACTCCTCAATTAGGATCTTGGGGGTTACCATGATACGACTTGAACATGCTCATGTGAAACGCAAGGTGAATTTTAGGTTTTAGTGGTAACTCAAACTTGTAAATAGTGTGCCTTATCCTCTCGAAAATGTAGAATGGTCCCTTATAGCATCTTGTTAGGCCCTTATGTAGCTCTTGGTCAATAAGGATAAGATGCAACTTCACAATTATGAGGTCACCTTCTTGTAAGTTATATGCGAACTACACAACATTGAACAGTCTTGACTAATTACACTATGTGTTGTGTGGTACTACAAATACACCCCAAGTAGGCAGTTGACTCATTTTGTATGCCCGCCCATCTATTGATGGAAGCTTGTGGAGGACTTAAGCTTGGACCCTAAGAGCTTAAAGAGCTTGGGCTACAAACAGCCTATAAACCACCCATCTAGATCACTCACTAAACTCTCTAGTAAACCCTAAAGCTTCACCACCTGTTCCATGAATGCTTAGGTAGCTTTTTTGGTTGACACTATTTAGTTAGAGGTAAAAAGGTTGCATACTTACTAAACTTGTCAACCAAAACCATAATAGCACTAAAACCATTTACGTTGGGTAGGTTAGTAATAAAAAATCCAAGGACACAAACTGCCAAGATCTATTTGGTGACTTCAATGGCTCAAGTTACTACTTGTCCTTGTCTTACTAGAAGACAAGGCACACTTTGACATATGCATCAACATCCTTGGTCATGTGCGACCAATAATAGTGTGTCATTACTACCAATTAACCTTGCACTTGTTGTTTGGAACCCACCTTGCAAGCCATCAATAGTACATGTGTGTACTTTGTAGAATGTGCGACCTTGCCAATAATCTCCCTTAAGTAACTTTGTTGCACGAACAGTGAACTTGCATGCCTTGTCCCTACAAGAGACCTCAAAACGAGTATGACATGACGTTTTAACTCTAATCTTGAAGTGCCCTTTTAGTGCCAACATGCTTCAAGCTTGTTTCAATTTGACCTTCGATAGAAACTCTTTTTGGCGATATAAGTGGTCATTGATTGATATGGGCTCCTTGGTCGCAACTGCTTAAAAGGATATCTTATTTGTCCTTGGAATAATCCATTGACGAGATACCCTTGTTTTTACCCTCTCTTAATCACTATCATCAGGCGAATGAATCTTGTTGTCTCCAACAATAGGGTTGTCGTACATAGAGTCATCGCACTTAACATCTTCTAAGACAACAGTTGTGGCATGGTCATCACACTGAACTTCTTCCAACATAATAGTTATGGCATGTTCTGTACTGTCATCTTCATGATTGCAATATGGAATGTCCGTGTCCTCACCCTTACTGTCCTCTAAATAGTTATCATATCTGCCAATGTAATGATCTTCACAACCATCATCCATCTCATCTTTCCAATCAGTAATTCGTCCTCTTCATAATCATTGTCCAGTTAATTAGATGCATCATCATCACTTACGACCATCATTTTGTTGTTTACGAATGGCAATGGACCCACTGCATTCCTAAGCGATGGTTGCATTTGTTGCCAAGAACGAAGTATTTTATTTGATGCACATTTTGATTGGAATTGTGCAAATAGCATTTAAAGCACTTAATGTATGTACTGGGCTACTCAAACTCATGTGCATATGTCAAAGGTGATTGCCATTGTTGTTTGTTAGAAAATGCATGCTACGGTATGTTTGAAGCATTATAATTCTGTTATAGGTGATTACTATGTTGGACACTTTTTTCATGCAGCATAACATTTGCATTTCATTCCTTAATTGTCACAAACACTACAACTAGTCTCTCATTTCTCAAAATACTTACTACATCTTCATCGTGCCTAATAATAACGCTTGAAACCTTTACGGCATGACTAAACAATGGATGCAACTTGATTTCATGATTCTGTGAGTTTACCCCATCAACATCTTCAACTAGCTCCATTAGGCTAAAAAAATAACAAATCACTCCCAACACGCCTCACTCATGTCTCACCACCTTTGTAAGTGTCATTGACATAATGACCACTATATGTAATCATAAGCTTCACATCTGGCAGGTCATTGAGATGTAACAGGAAATAAGTGTCATAATCAGTCAATTTATCAAAAGATACTACACAATACATAAAAATCAGTCACGCAATAACTTAAAGTCAGTTTTGCAATACCTAATACACTTTCATACAATACCTAAAAACTAGTCAAGTAACTCCTAAAAGCTAAAGATGCATTGCACAAGTTATGCAATGCCTAAATATAAATTTCGTAATATTTAATAATAAGTCACGTAATGCTTAATATCCACTCACATTATGCCAACTTGACTGGTCACACATTACCTAAAACCAGTCACGCAATACAAAACAACCAGTCACACAATGCCTAATATCCAGTTATGTAATACCTAAAAAACAATAATATTCCAACTATTGTCATCATACTTTTTCTTCTCTTATATAAATGAAAAATTAAGAAATTATGGTAAATAAACAAGTTATTGAGCATAAAAGAAATTAATGGCAAATATTACTATTTATATAAAATATGTAATAAATCAATATTTTAATTAATAAAGCTGAAACTAAGGAGATGATACATCATAAGAACCATGTATTATGTGCCTTCCATGGTTCATTTCTTCTTAATCTCATCAGCTATTTCATAAATTTCAGCTAGAATATTGTTATTGTTCAAATTCTATCTCTAGAACTTCTATCTTAACCAGCACCTTGTCGATCAAAATGCGCAAGTCCTTATCCATGTTCTGAATAACATCCATCAATTTTCCCATATATGTTGCAACATATTTAGGGATATCTTCCTTTACGGAATCATCACCTTTTTCGATTTTCCCTTAGAACGTTTAAAAGTCATTAGAAGTTTGAGATTTTTGTGACTTTAATTCAAATATTTTTAATTGAAATGGACAAAGGTTCCCTCAATTTATAGGCATGAATACTGACTCTTGGAAAGGGTGTTCAATGGTTTTAGGCTTATTTTTTTATGAACATAAATCGATGCAATAAGTGCTTTAAAGAGAATTTAAGAGTTCTGTGTCAGTTGAATTTGGATGGTTTTCTGCACCAACATAAGTGGAATTAAAGGGACTGAATTGGTTATTAAGCATTCCTAATTCTCTTCTAATTCTATGGAATTGGTTTATTAAAAAGGCTGAATTACTAGATATTTAGCTTCAACAGTAGGTAGATAAAGCAATGCAATGACTAAAAACTAGTCAAGCAATGCCTACAACCTGCTTAAACAATTCCTAAAACCTAGTCAAGTAATGCACAAGTCATGTAGTTCCTAAAAGTCACTGTCAGTATGCCTCCTATCCAGTGACACATTGCCTAATATTCAGTCATGTAATGCCAAATAAATAGGTAAGGCAATTCCTAAAAACTTGTCACCAAATGCTTACGCCGCATAATACAAATCTACCAGTCATACAATACCTAATATCCGGTGAACTAATACTTAAAAAATATTTACGAAATGCCTAATTGATAACTCTATTATATAGAGTTATTTTGAGTCATTTTAGGAGCTTAAGTAGCTATATCTTTGAGATTTAGGTTCGAATTTTAGCATTATAGGTGTTTTTTTTAGTTTAAGTTTGATTACTTGTTAAGTGATTACTTTAAGTTATTTTAGTTAAATTTTAAGTTATTTTTTTAAATTACTTTAAGAGTAGTTATTGCTAATTTCTCTTATGACTTTTGTGGAAATTGATGAAAAAGACTCATTTGATGAAAATCAGTGCAAGTATGGTGATAGCTTCATTCGTATATGTTTCAGTATTTTGACCATATCTCTTTCTAAAAAACTCCAAATGAGGTGATTCTTAGACCAATCGAATTATAAGAAGAAGGGATACAATGTTTATGTTCACCAATTTGCCCAGTTCTGATTGGATCATGGTCAAAATATTTGTCAAAGTCGGACCACTGCAGCAGTATGTAAAGACTAACATGATGCGTATTTGGAGCAAATCTTTCAATACAGAAGTCCAATTGATGTGATTTTTGATCCATTGGAACGTTAAGAGACAGGATAAAACTTTTATGTTTACTACTTTGCCCAGTTCTTAACATATCAGGGGTGAAACTCACGTTTGAAGTTGATAGACTGCCACAGCGCTGGGAGAACAAGGCTGCAGCGTTGATGAAAGGAATCACACATACAAAATTCCAGAGAGCTCAGCGCTGCAGCGCTGGAGAAGTAGCGCCGCAGCGCTGCGCGACTTTCCAAAAAAAAAATAAAGGACATTAACGGGATTTCGAAAATTAGGTTATTTGGAGCCTATTTAAGGAGCCTTTTTCAGAGATTTTTGAGAGGAGGCAGCAAGCAACTATTCTGGAGATTTGGAGCCAAGAACAAAGCAAGAAACAGAGAACTAGAGAGAGGATCAAGATCATAAATCTCTAACTATTAGTTTTCTCTTCTTACCTTTGTGTTTTTTTCTATTTTCTTTGACTTGGATTCATGGCTAAATTTCTTTGGATATTGTCTTTATTAGATATTATGAGCTAATTTATTTTTCTAGGATTGCAATTGAAATCACATGTAATACTAGATTTTAACACTTTCTTGCTTATTTTCAATGGGATTTGAATTGTTATTCCAATTTGTTCTTAATGCTTTTAATTGCTTGGCCACCAATTAAATTGATCTAGAAACCTAAACAAACTTGGGAAAGGGAGTTTAGTGTAGACTAAAATTGGGATAGCATATGATCATATTAATTGATTTGCGTATAGGATAGGGATATACCTATAGGCCATATGTAGCCAGATTAGAGCCTGAACTTAATGAGTTTGTTTTAATTTCAATTCACATAGGATTAGTGTTTTGTTTAAATAGATATTTTATAAGATGAGTCGGGAGACCCTTATAAATAATTAGGACTCTAGGTTAGCAATTCAAACCATTGAGATAAGTTAAGAAGAGAGGTAAGATTTAGATGAAGTGTGAGGGATATTGTAATCCTAGGCTTGTTTGATTTGATATTTATTTGAGTATTTATTATTTGATTTTTCTTAATTTAATTCTGCTATAACTTAGTTTGATTTGATATTATTTTGATATTGTTTGGATAAGATTAATTTGCGATAATTTTAGTACTTAGTATACTTTTATATCAATTCCCTGTGGGATTGATACTCTACTTGCTAATATTACTGTTCTAATTCGAGGTATTACGTGGGATTGCCGTAGATTAGAATTTTAACTGACACTAATCACTAATTGATTTCTCTATTCACAACCAGGTTTATACTACCAAACAATATAAACAAATAAACCTAATAACCCAAAACACATATCTTGATGTTACCTTTGCTCTTTGAGATGGTGAGAAAAAGTTGGATGGCAAGATAGACCTCGATGGTAGTACACAGTTGGTTAGCAAGATAGACATATCGAGATTTAATTTTGAAATTTTTATCTTGATGGCGAGATAGAGAAAACCGGGATCATTTAATTTGGAGAAAATGGTTTAAAGGGCATAATGGTCAAGCTATGTCAAATTGACTAAAAACAATTAAAATTATAAAGGGAGTCATTTTTGAATTGGCTTATAAGGAGAGGTATTTCTCACAATTTCCTCCACTAATAAATTGCTTAATGTCACCATTTCTAATTTCCAAAATGTAGCATTCAACCTCCCAAGGGATTGTTTATATAGTAGGTTATTGATTTTTAATTTCTTTTGATATTTTTTTAATTTTAGTTACGTTATCTAAATAAAGAATAAAAAGTTTATTTAGAAAAGACTAAAGAATAAAAAATTATCATGTTGTTTGATTCAGTATAATTTACCTCCTAAGATTTAAAAATGTGACACCAAACTGTCTTATATATATATTGTGAAATTTCTTTGTACTGGTAAAAATTAAAAATAAAAATTAATGGTATTAAGTAGAAAAGTAATAGTAACAAACACACCATAATTAAGTGTATTTCTTAACCTCAAAGGCAAATTTATTTTGCCTCAACCCACATGGTATTTTTCTGTAATTCAACCTTGATAAAGACTGCCACGTGGTGAGTGAATTCAGCAAAAGAATCCCCCTTCAGGGTTCTTTCAATAATAAGTATATATAAATTTTAATAAAAAGAAAATATTTCTCTTTTTTTTTTTTTTTTTCTGTTTTCACGTATTACCCAATCTTTATAGTTTTGACTTCTTTATTGTCGACTTTTCTTATTCATTTTTCCTCTTTTTCTTTTTTAATCTGGTAATCCCTCATTCTCCCATCCAGCTCTTCCCCCCTTTCTACTATATATGTATATGAAAATAATTACATCTTAATATAAAGAAATTGCAAACTCTTGGGTGCGGGGCGAATCTACTTGGTTAGAGAGTAATTACATTGTAATAATTACATCTCAATATAACCTGTGGACATAATCTTAATCTTGGTTAAAGAGTAATAATTTAATATATATATATATATATATATATAAAGTACGCAACTCAAAGACAATAATCATGCCATCGCCATGTGATCTTTTGAGAAATTTGAGAATGGGGCAATAGAGCAACAATAATGAGTGTTTGCATCAATGAGTAGAAGTAATTACTAAGGAAGGTATTCATGAATCCAGTCCTTATTAAAAATATTATAATTACCATCTTATCCCTCATTAAATTACATTTCTTCTTTCATCTTTGGCACACTCTTGAGTCCAAATAAGAGAGAGAAGAAGAGGGAGTTCAAGGAAGGAGAGTTGTTGATAGTTAACGCTAACACTAACAAGGTCGATTGTGGTTATCCATTCGTTGGAGATAGATTAAGTTTATGATACATTAATTCAACTAATCGAATTCAACATACTATGTCTAAATCCCTAAGTCAATCAATACAAGTTTGGCATATTGAGCTCAAAAATAATATTGTTACAACATATTTAATAATATTGATGTCATATCTGAACCTGATTAATTAGATTCGATTTGGTAATGACTAGGTTTTAGGTTTCGCATTAATTTGCCTTTTGCCATTGTCGTTCATGCGACCAAAAATAAAATTGTAATTGTATTATCTTTTTAGTAATAATAAAGTTGTTATTTCTTTTTATTAATAATTTTTGTCCATGGGGAAAACTCTCAATATTCTTTATTCATTGTCTCATTTTGAAATTCCCCCTTAATACAATTCCCAACAAGGTCCCCACACTCACAGAAACCTGCCTGTCTTTTCGAATTGCCAATTAATTACCTTAATCATCCAATTATCATGTGAATGAGAACCATCTCATTCAATGCATCCACGTGGGGAGAGATGGGACCAAGAAAGAGGTAAGCCGGCAACTAAGCCGGGGAGTGGAGAGTCGGCATCAGGAGTGGTGGAGGATGGGCGACCTTCAAAGCCAAGCTCACTTTCTTCTTCGTCTTCCTTTTATTATATATAATATATTGCCTTTCTTGTCTCTAATATACAGGGTTTGATCACTTGCAGAGGTTGAGGTGTGATTTTCATTGGTTGGGTACTACTTATGTATGACAAATTGGGCTTATGCCCCCAATATACAACTGTTGTGCATATGCTATTTAATTAACTTAGCTACTGCATCACTATCTACTCCTCCATTCTTTTCACGTATAGTTGAAGAATACCTCTAAGATCTTACAAGCTTTTGTTTTGATAAGATTAGTTGAAGAGTTTTTCAGCTATGGGCCTTTCACCATAAAACATATGGCTAGATAAGTACAGGTCCATGCTTCCTCTGCTTAGGCTCCAAGCCTGGCCCATTAAAGTGCGAGGCCGAATAAAAACGATTTAAGATTGTTCGTGTTTTAAATACTTAGTGTTTTAGGGTTTACGATTTTTAATTTAAAAGATATATTTGATAAGTAAAAAAAATTCGTATTTATATATCTAAGAGCTTTTTATTTATTATTAATGTGAAATCTGTAATACTTGATGGCTTAAGTAGAGTCTTCCTTTTTTTTTCAAACTTTTTGCATTCTAATACAACTAATGTTTATTTTCAAATATTCAATTTTTAATTTATTACGGATTTTTTTATTAAATTTGATATTATGTTTACGTTTCTACTTTAATTAATTTAAATTATAATTTTATTATTACAGGAAGAATTTTTTTTTTGAGGAGATAACGCGGTTTCATAAGAGGAACCTTTTCTCACCATATAGGAAGACTCCCAACTTTGCTGAACTTCAAGCCATCCATCAGGGACTTGACTTCTTTTTTGCTTCACCATGGACATCTAACCACCAGCTGGAGGCTGAAAGTGATTCTACCAATGCCATCCTTTGGGTCAAGGACAACACCAAAGTCCCTTGGAAAATGAAGTTCAATTCAAATGCCATTGAAACTCTTATTGGGAACAACATTGGCATCACCTTCAAGCATATCAGGCGTGAGGCAAACGCTGTGGCGGATGGATTGGCCAAGGCTGGAGTCATCAGGGACATCAATCACAGTGCAGATTTTGAGCTTACGGAAGCGTAGGGCTGTTACTGACGTGGTCTTGATAGGATTGTATTTTATCTTTCTGCTTTGGCTGTGTTAAGGGATTATAAGCCTTTTGTTAATATGTTTCCTTTATCTGGTTGTCAGCTCATCAGACACCTCTG